GACCATCAGCGGACAATTTGGAGTGCATGTCAACGGGGGTGCTGCTAGGCTTGCAAGCACTCATCCCGGTCCGCTCCAATATGTCCAGAGTGTACTACAGCTGAGAGAGAAAGAAGCCGTCATCTGAGCAGGTGATTGAGATGCCAAGAAAGTGGTGAAGTTGACCCATGTCTGTCATAGCAAATTCATCCTGGAGAGCGGCAATGATATGGTGAAGAAAACCAGCTGACGAGGCGGTGAGAACGATATCATCAACATAAAGTAGCAAATATGCAGTATCCAATCCTCGATGATATGTGAATAGTGAAGTATCAGACTTGGCCCCGACAAAACCAAGGGACAGGAGGTGAGTGGCGAACCTGGTGTTCTAAGCACGAGGAGCCTGCTTTTGGCCATATAGAGATTTGTTGAGCCACAGACAAAATCAGGATGGGATGAGTCAACAAATCCTGAAGGCTATGCATAGTAGACAATCTCGGTCAAGGTGCCATGAAGGAAGGCATTCTTAACATCCAACTGATGAATGGGCCAATTCTGAGAGAGAACCAACAACAGAACCACCTGAACAGTTGCTGGTTTGACCACTGGACTGAATGTTTCACCATAGTCAATGCCCGGCCGTTGTGTGAAACCTCACAGGACCCAACTGCCTTGTAGCGATCAAGAGTACCATATGCTAGCAGCTTGTGACGATAGACCCACTTGCCAGTAACAAGGTTGACGCCAGGAGGTTGAGGAACAAGGCTCTAGGTGTCATTGGCAAGAAGAGCATCAAACTCGGCTTGCATAGCAGAGCGCCAATTGGGGTCTGACAAGGCATCACAAACCGAGTGCGGCAATGGCAACATAGGCACCGCATGGAGGTTGAGATGATCCACGGGCTACGCAAAGCCGTCCTTGCCATGCATACGCATGGAGTGCATGTTGGTGACCGGTATGATGGCAACCGATCATGTAGCAACGGTGCGCCCGGTGCCACTAGAAACAGCCTGAGCGCGAGGCTCAGGGGCAGTAGAACCAGCAGCATAGGGTGGTGCCGAGGAGGACGGGGTGGCGCTGCTGGCAGCAACCCGTACGGGATGCAAGGGGCAGCAGCACCGAGCGTTGGGGGCGGCACGGAGGGCCCATCTAGGGGCGACCTTGGGGACAGTGGCCCAGGTGACAACGATGGCCCAGGCGCGACATCCCCATCCCCAAGCATGTGCACAGTGCCATGCACGGCACATAGGGGCTCTAGTACCGAGGCTGGAGTGGGCGTCGGAGTACCTACAGACACAGTTCGGGCTCCGGAAATTGGACCAGTAAAATCATTCTCATCAAGTAAAAAATCGAAGGCTGAGGATGCCATGGGTGTGGTGGACATATCGGAGAAGGGAAAGAAAGATTTATCAAAAATGACATGTCGGGAGATGATAAGACGATTCGACTAGAGCTCAAGACACCGATAGCCTTTGTCTTTCGAGGAGTAGCTGAGGAAAATGCATAGGGATGAACGTGGGGTGAGTTTGTGGGGTGCTGTGGGGGACAAGTTGGGATAGCAAGCACACCCAAAAACTTTGAGGTGGTCATAGGAGGGCTAGGTGGAGTAGAGGGAGGTATATGGTGTCGAGAAGGTGAGGGTTTTGGTGGGGAGGTGGTTCACAAGATATGTTGCAGTGTGAAGGGCCTCAACCCAGTAAACCGGAGGAAGACTCGCTTGAAACAAAAGGGAATGCATAATGTTATTAATAGTGCAAAGGGAGCGTTCTGCTTTTCCATTTTGTTGAGAAGTATGTGGACACGACATGCGGAGTGCAACACCATGGGGGAGAAAGAACGTGCGGGCCAGAGAATTATCAAATTCACGGTCGTTGTCGCACTCGACGCTCTTGATGGTGGTGCCAAATTGTGTGCGAATGTAAGCGAAAAAACTGGCAAGAGTGGAAAATGTCTCAGATTTAAGGCGGAGCGGAAAAGTCCAAATGTAGTGTGAACAATCATCCAAAATGACAAGGTAATATCTGTATCCTGACACACTAACAATAGGAGATGTCCAAAGATCGCAGTGTATTAAATCAAAATTATGAAGAGCTCTAGAGCTAGATGATCCAAAAGGCAAACGTGCATGGCGACCAAGTTGGCACGCATGGCATATATGATCGATATCATCTTTATTACAAAAAATGACACTAGAACTAATGAGTTTGGACAAAGCTTCACGCCTAAGATGCCCGAGACGACGATGCCAAAGTGAGGTGGGTGCAATGATGAATGCGGAGGCACTGGTGGAGGGTGGACGGAACGGATAGAGGTCGCCAGAGCTATTGCACCTGGCGATCACGTTCCTGGTGTGCAAATCCTTCACAGAAATGCCAAAAGGATCAAATTCAATGGAACAATTATTATCGGTGGTAAAATGACGAATAGAAATCAGATTCTTAATAATGTTGGGAGACACCAAAACATCGTTAAGAACAAGATTGCGACCCAGGAAAGAAAAAGTGTGTGATCCAGTGGCAGTGACATAAAGTAGTGCACCATTTCCCACAATGATAGATGAAGGAGTAGATGAAAAAGTGGGAAAATGGTAGAGAGTTTACCAGCGTCCGCGGTCATGTGGGAACTAGCCCAGGAATTGGCGTACCACTCGGGTGATGGAGCCAGCGGGTGGAGCGTCATGGTGTTGAAGGAGTGTGCCAGGGAGTCCTGATGCCATGAGCCCCTATGGGTAGGATTCCAGGGCGCCGCTGGAGTGACCTGGTAGGTCGGTGAGGGTGCCTGGAAGGTCGACAGCGCCGGTGGTGGAGGCGCAACTCCCCCATAGTATGAGCCAGTGCTCCCGAAGGACGGGCCATACTAAGGAGGCGGAGGGCCGTAGGTACCACCATATGCCCCACCGAAACCACCATATTGAGGAACGGCGGTAAACGCCGGAGGCGTCGGTGGAGGGCGCCCAGACCGGTCGTAGGGCCACATCTACACGGTGCCGGCCCACCGGTGCGTGAAGGACAGGTGCATGCCACCGTGCACGCTTGGGAGCACACCACTAGGGGACGCCGATGGGCCGCCGCGTCCACCGTGTCCGCGACGGCGGCCGTTGCGCTGGCCACCAGTGGGTGCACCAGGAGGGCGCGCAGGGGGGAACGGTCCCGGGCATGGAGGCGCTAGTGCCTCGGGCACCGTCAGGCGCGGAGTGGTAGCAACGAGAGCGGAAGGCGGCGATGGTGGCCGGGCGTCGATCTCCATCTCCTCCAGCAGGAGGTGTGTTCGGGCCTCTGCAAACGTCGGGAACGGGCGATGCATCTTGAGGATGGACACCATATGGCAGAACTTGCCACTCAAGCCATGGAGGAGCGTGAGCACCAGCTGTTGATCGCAGATGGGGTCGCTGAACTCGACGGGAGAGGTGGCCATCGACTCGAGACGGCAACAGTAGTCGGTGATGCTCAGGGAGTCTTGACGGAAGTTGCAGAACTGCGTGTCGAGGAGGAGCGCGTGGGACTCCCGTTGGCCGAGGAACTCGTCCTCGAGGTAGCACCAGGCCCCGCGAGCGGGTCGCTGCTGCATCATCGGGGACTGTTGCAGATCGTTGGAGACAGTGCCATAGATCCACGTCAAGACGATGCAATCTGCCTGCACCCATGCCGGGCGCGAGGGGAAGGCCTCGTCATCGAGAACGTGGCGAGTCAGGGCATATTTGCCATGGACGGTGAGGAACATGCCGCGCCACTTGCTGTAGGTGTTCGTGGTGTGATCGAGGACGACGGGGATGAGGGCCTTGACGTTGACGACGGCAGTGGCCTGTGCCCAAAGGGCCTCGTGGGCACTCTCGTACGCGTCCAGCACGGCGGCATGGAGACGGGCCTCCTCGGCACGGCGTGCTTCTTCAGCGTGGGCTTCGGCCTCAGTCGCGAGGTGACGTTCTTCGACGGTCGCGGCGAGACGGCGATCTTCGGCTTCCTTGGCGGCGGCGGCCGTAGCAGCGTCGTCGTCATCCGCCATCGGGAAACCAGTGGGGCAAGCGAGCAGTCCAGCTGCGACACCCGGTGATGAGGTCAACGACGGGGGCCGACGATCGGATCGGCGTTGCAGCTGGAGGCGCAGGTGATGGGACTGGCGATGCGCCCAGTGATGGTGTCAGCCGGTGGGGCAGCGATCGGATCGACGGCTGACGAGGGTTGTGAAAGAGTAGCGGATCGTAATTGCTCTGATACCATGTAAACGTGATTAGAATTGAATTAATATGCGTGAGTACATATAGGGGCCGGGGTGGCTTATCAGCCAACCACGCAGGCATGATACATGCCACAAATTAAGGGTTGTATACTATAATTACAATATGCTAACACTTATGTACCGGGGTTGGCAATTGAGATCGATAAACCCCTACACCTAAGGTGTTTTACTCCGGATAAGTAGATTGGAGGATCCAAGGTGGTTTGAAACGCAATACGAGAGACTCCCTTTCTACTGTTTCATGTGTGGCATCATGTGCCACTCTGAGATTGAATGTCCTAATCCAGTGCCACGGAACGAGCTAGCAAGCTATCGTATCGATGTTCAGCCGAGAGCACCAGAGGATCGCCGGAAACGTGTACAGTCGTTTTCTGAGGCTGCGACGGTGTCATTTGGTAGTGGCTCATCCTATAAGGATCCCTGCTAAGCTTAGAGGGGCTGAATAGACTGAGCTCTCGATTCAAGTCCGAAGCTTGTGCACAAGTAGCGAACACGAACACGTACTCCGACCGTCGTCCTCACATCGTCGCCAGCTGGCAGCTCGAGCTATATATACCCCATCCTCCTCCCGGTCTCCGATCCCTGTCTGTCGAACTGTCGATTCGCCTCGATCAACCCCCTCAACTGCCACGCCATCATCGTCGTCCATCTTTTTCTTGCTCTTCAGTCTTCATCACCCGCCATTTATATATTCTACTGTACTACTTGAAGAAAGCACGAGCGAGCACATACACCGCAGCTGATCGAGCTAACTCATCCGCTTATCCGATCCACCACTGGCTAGCATGGACTACATGGACATGGCCATGGCCATGGTGGGCTTGGAGGACCTGGACCAGGTGCTGGCCGTGAGCCCCGCCGGGAGCTTGGCGACGTCCTCCGCTCCTGCCGCCGCCGCCGCCGCACCAGCAGCCGCCGCCAACGCCGACCTCCGGAGGGGCCTCTGGACGGTGGACGAGGACATCCTGCTCGTGAACTACATCGCCGCCCACGGCGAGGGCCGCTGGAACTCGCTCGCCCGCTCCGCGGGCCTGAAGCGCACGGGCAAGAGCTGCCGCCTCCGGTGGCTCAACTACCTGCGGCCCGACGTGCGGCGGGGCCACATCACCGCGAAGGAGCAGCTGCTGATCCTGGACCTGCACTCGCGCTGGGGCAACCGCTGGTCCAAGATCGCTCAGCACCTCCCGGGCCGCACCGACAACGAGATCAAGAACTACTGGCGCACCTGCGTGCAGAAGCACGCCAGGCACCTCCGCTAGCTGCGACGTCAACAGCGCACACTTCCGCCACGTCGTGCGACACGTCTGGATGCCGCGCCTCCGAGAGCGCGCCCTGGCCGATCTCGAGGACCAGCTGCATCCGCCTGTTGCGGCGGTGGCGCCCGTGCCCGTCATCCAAGCGGCGCCGGCGACCACCATGGCCAGCGCAGCACCCGCGTGTTATATTTACGACGGCCGCCACGGCTTGTTGCAGCAGCGAGGCGCCCACCACGGCGTGCCAGCGGCAAGTGAAGCTCACCACCACCACCAATACTACAGCGGGGAGCCAGCAGGCTGGACGGCATCGGCCACGGCTCTGAGCCCCCACGACGCCTCCTGCACACTGTGCCCGTCGTTACTCACGGCGGACGACGCGTCGCATTACGCAGCAGCTTACACTTACACCTCCGCGGCCATGGCAACCCTGACTAACGACCAAGACTGCGGGCTAATGATGACTGACGAGGTGTTCGCCGGGTAGACCTGGTTTGGGGATTTCGAGGACGGCCTCCTGGATGACCTTTGCTTACAGCAGCTGTGCTGAGCTCACCATGCATGCATACCCACAGTGATGGATCCCGAAACGGGCTTCGCCCAGGGCTAACTATAAGGCTACTTATTAGCCGTAGACTATTACATATAACATAGTTTTAAAGAAGACAAATAACTATAAGGCTACTTATTAGCCGGGGCAGCGGGCGATGCCCCGGCCAGCCGCCGGCGGGGGCGGGCGCACGCCCGCGCGGCTGTGCAGTGCGGGGCAGTTTCCGGGACGCCGGTGCGGGACTGCGGGAGCCGGCACATCATAGGAGGAGGAGGGCCAAGTGCATTTTCTCCTGCAATGTCGTTGTTGCGCAGATAAATTAAAATGTGATCCATGCAAGTGCCTCCCGGAACGTGCATTGTGCACTGGGCTGATCAATAAAATTTGCTGGAGTTGATGCGAATTCAGCTTTTGATGCTGTTTCTTTACTTTTGTGAAATCTAAGATGAAGCGAGTTTGGCAACTGGGGACCCTTTTCTGGAGCTGGATGAGCCCGAGCTAGGCTCTGTTGTATAGATAAATATGTTAGGCCCATATCTGTGTGGCCCAAGCTACAAAAAGATTCTGCAGCCCATGGTATGTAGCCCAAGTTACTAACAGTGTGTGACTGTGGGCTACAATGAGCTTGAATTAGGGGGCCCAAGCTACACACAAGATCCGTGGGCAGTAGTGGATCCATTTGTGCGTGTGGACCATGAACCAATTTTAACAAAATACAAAAATGAGAGTTTTAAATAAATGGTACAATAAGCAATAGAGTTTGCACTTAACACATGCATACAAAAAATATAGCAATTAATAAGATAAAAACTCAAATGCCAAAAAAAAATCATAGACTTGTGACATCCGACACATTGGAAGGATCATGTGACCATATGCATTATCATAGAGTTTTTGTTGATTCAGATGACAACACAAGCACTAGAGCTAACATATATACTAAGATGTGTTAGACAGGCTCTAATAGTTCCTAGGAATTCAAAGAAGAAGCGGCGCGAGAGTGACGACCAGAGAAGAAATAGAGCCAAAACATGCTAGTATGCAAAAGTTGCACATGCCAGATGGGCCACAAGTACAAGAGGCACTGTGAAGATTCTGGAGACATCGTTTGGAAGGTTCCCTCCAAGCTTCAATGGTATCTACAAACCCCTAAGGGTAATGCTAGAACCCCAATCTCAATTCTCAATTCCCCCATCTTAATCCCCCCCCCCCATCTTAATCGCAAAATTCAGCTTAGCTTTCTTGATGTTTCCTCGATTGTTCTGAAGTTCCTTTGACTGTTCCAAAAATCAGGTCAAACACTAGTTGACCAGTCAACACGATTGACTAAACAGTGTCCTGTTGGACTATCCGCGAGGACACTTAGGCGGCAGACATGCATTAGGATGAGCTGTCCTCCTCTCTCTCTCCCATGGCCCACATGTCAGCTCGAACATTGACTAGGAGTTGTGTTTCAGCAACTGATCCTAGGGATAAATTTTCGTCTCCAGTGTTTGGCCTCTCTTGGTTTGCCCTTTTGTCTTACACATTTAAGTTTTAGCATTGTACTGATTTTGTGTAGACTTTACTTTCTTTCCTAGACTGCTATAGACTAGTTGATAGAATTGGCTCTAGGTTATAAAACTCTCCGTGGGTTGGTTAAGGTGAGCACACTAGAAAACCATAAGTTTACGTCATGTTACCCCTTACCTCTCTCTTGGGCTCACGTACGTGTCCCTACACACTTAGAGTTGCAACAAGAGCCGGACATGACTTAAGCTAATATGTTTTAACTAAGCACGTATCGAAGACATAGAGATTAGAGGCAAAGGAGAGAAAATGTGAGTATGAATAGAAACATAGTGTGCCTCATATGGTATTTCTAACCCGTGCAGGAGCAAAATGAAAAGTTTTGTTTAGATAGCATTTGCTGATGATATACATGGTGTGCATTGGACGGTACAGGTAGCCATGCGGGCCTAGCTATATGGCTGAGCTGAACCTACTCAGTCATCATGGATGATGCAAGCATGCACACAATGGCAAGTGGCTAGCTTTGCACTCTCTAGCTAAGCTAAGCTAGGCTAGCTGCACGCACGCACGCGGCGCGCAGGGGAGATCCGGTCAAGCAAGCAAGGCAGCAGAAACAGCACATCGATCGGCCTCTTTCAAAACCCAAAAGGTCTTTGTTGAATTCAACTGATCAATCACCACCTCCTTTTTCTAGAGAGTCAAGACGAACTCATCAAATTATCCCAGCAAATTACGACGCATATATATGATCTATATCATGTCTTCGTTCTATATATATGCCGATGGATGGGATACAAATATAATACAATATACATGCACGGATGGATGGAGATGATGGCGATCTCTGCTGCTGCGCTGGTGTGGATAAGGCCAGGGAAGATATGCGCTGTGGTAGCTATAGTATACTATAGCTCAGCTAGGGTTGGCCCTCTATCTCCTTGTTATGTTATATTTAAGGGGACAGCGTGGCGATGACAAGAACACGGACTAATATATGCGCAAAAGAGAAAAAAGAAAAAATAAGAACACGGCCTAATAATAAGTGGCATCATGCATGAATAAATTTGCTATTCTTTCACCTTTCTATCTGCCCATCTTCATTCCATGACTTCAGTTTGTTTTGACTTTTTTTTTCTCGAATACACAAAAGATTTACGTACACTAGTAGAGAACAGACCTTTGATCCTCAGCCAAAATGGGCTCTAGTCCCGAAATTTTTTGCACCTGGGACTAGAAATACTTTTAGTCCCGGTTGGTGTCTCCAACCGGGACTAAAGGTCCCTGCCCCAACGGCTACTGCGCCAGACAGAGGTGGCAGGGACCTTTAGTCCCGGTTGGAGCCACCAACCGGGACTAAAGGTATACTTTTACTCCCGGTTGGTGGCTCCAACCGGGAGTAAAGGTCTACTCCCGGGCCGTGGCTGCGCCCGGGGTTGGAAAGTTACTTTTAGTCCCGGTTGGAGCCACCAACCGGGACTAAAGGTCCCCCCTTTATATCCCGGCCGTCTCCTTCTTCCTCCCCGAGCCCGAGCTCAGCACATTTTAAAGCTCACTGCACTAGTGTTCTTGCTTACTTCCTCCCTCCATTGTTCCTCCATCCATTATTTGATTCCTCCGTCGATTTCTTCGATTCCTCCGTCGATTCTTCAGTTGTAAAGGTTACCAATCTCATACTCTCATTTTTCACCATTGTTTTATCTCATTTTGTTCACTATATATATATATGGTTCTTTATTGTGGTTTTTTTCATTTGTAAGCAATTTGAGCTCAAAATCACTTCAAGCTTGCATATTTACATGAAATAAGGTTAAAGTAGCTAGTTGAACTTGCGGTCCGTGTTCATCTCGGCGAGCACGTTCTCTGCCGAGCGGTAACGGACGTCAAGGAGGAGCTTTGATTCTACGAGGGAGAGCGGCAACGGTTGTGGAAGACCGTGTTCCCTTCCTCGTAGAATTGGAGCTCTTCCGTGGCCAAGTACGGTGCCGTCCGGTGGAGAAATGCTCGCCGAGATGATCACGTAAGCAAGGTCAACTAGTACGGATGGTTATTTATTCACACGTCCCGATATCGTCGCAGTAGTCTGTTATGTGTGTACACTCCCATTCTTCTGTTAATTTGCGGAAATATCATGTGAATTACTTACCTGCCGCAGTAAAAGACGAGAACACAATGACCATTAAAAATATCATTGTTTAGAGATCTAGATAATTTTATAGTTTCTTAATTTTATTTGTTTATAAAAGGAGAAATTTATAGTGTATTAAAAAATGAGTATAGAAAGTAGATGGCAACTGCTTCCGGGTCCTCGGCCTCTCATGGGTTTCCAAAGCGACTTAGGCCGGGCCTCTCTCTCATTCCATGCGGCAAGTGTCGTGATGAGATGAAGATTGTGATGGAGTACCGAGTGAAGAAGGAGGATCCCAACAAGGATCGTATCTTCTACAAGTGTCCGGATCGCAATGTGAGTTATTTTATCGTATTTAATGATTATGGTTAGTTTATACCTATTTTTATGATGGTTGTGATTAAAGTTCTAATTTTTTGTTTTAATTTCAGTGGGATGGAAGTGGACGATGTTCAGGCTTCTACTGGGAGGAGGAGTATGTTGAACTCGTGCAAAAATATCTTGCACAACAGGCAGATACGGCGGCTAATGAGGCAGTGATCTAGCCGAAGAAGCCCAAAGATGTTGCACAATCGGGGGATCTGTCTGTTTTAGTTGAGATTGGTCGTGAAATCCTAGTGCTACTGAAATGTATTTTAGCTTTAGTTCTTTTAGTGGTAGTTGGGATTGTCTACATTGTAGCGATGCTTTCATAAATTTGTATCTTTTGTGGTGGCACGCATGTTATATAAATAATTAATTATGATCTAGGTTTTAATATGGTATTTATGTCATGTAATGCAGATGAGCCGTCATTAGATGTATAATGCTGATCGCCGC